GTCCGTTTGGTTTGGGCTTTTGTCTTATAAACATTCTACCAACAATTCTACTCCTGTGTACATCCTCCAGGATAGTTGTTAGGGCATAAAGCAAGTCTCTATGAATTTAAGTAGATTTAAATAATAGAGTGCTTTTTCTGACCTCAGAAATGGAGCTCAAAATCATTAAGTTTAAAAATCAACAACAAAAAAAGAAAAATTACAAAAGCATATAGAAATTAAAGAGAGCACTATTAAACTATAAATCGTTTGAGGAACAAATTTTTAAGACCACATGTTTCTTAGAGTTCAGTGAAAATGAGAACACAATATGCCAGAGCTGAAGGGATGCAGTGAAAGCATTATTAAGAGGCCAACGAATAGCATTAAAGGCGTGCTTCACAAAAGAACACTCTCCAATCAACAGCCCGACTCAGCACAGTCAGGAACTAGAAACAGAACTGAAAACTAACCCTAAACCAGAAGAAACAAAGATCAGAGCAGAAATAAGTTGAAATTGAAAAAGAGAAAAGCAGTAGAATCAATAAAACCAGCCATTGTTTCCTGGAGAGATTAATAAAATTGCCAACCCTTTCACTAGACTGACAAAAGGAATGTGTGGGGGGTGGGGCAGATTGGAGAGTGAAGATGCAACTAACGTAAATAAGAAATGAAAGAGGGGACATTATAGCTGCTCAGTGGAAATAAAAAGAATTATGAACCGCTATAAGGCAATAATCTGAATAACAGGTGAAATGGAAAAATTCTTAGAAGCACATAACCTACCCAAATGAACTCTAGAAAAAATAGAAACTCTCACAGATTCATAACAAGTGAAGCAGTAAAATCAGTAAACAAACATATCCAAATTAGAAAGGTCTTGACTAGATGGTGTCGTTGGGACTTTTATGACACATTTAGAGAAGAGTTGACAACAATAATTTTAAAACTCTCCCAATAGGCAGCAAACATAACCCTGATACCTAAACCAGACAAACACACAAGAAGACTCCAGGCTAGTATGACTTAAGGAAATAGATGCAGATATTCTCAACAGAATGCTAGTGAATTGAATCCAAAAACATAATAAAAGTTATACAGCATAAACCAGTTATCTACCCCCAAAATGCAAAAGTGATCATTAGAAAACCAATCAACATAATACGCCACATCAACTGAACAAAGAAAATAACCATGTAATCATGACTATGGGGTTAGAAAGCATTTGATAAAATTCATATCCTTTTTTGATGAAAAATTGGAATATTCGAGAAATCCCTCAATATGATACTAGTCGTATACTTAATGAAAGAAGATTGAGAGCTTTCTGCTTAAAATTGGGAACAACACAACAGTGCCCACTGTCACCACTTTTTAAAATATTATATTGGAAGTGCTAGGCAGAACAATAAGACCAAAAAAAAAAAGAAAGAACAACAACAAAGAAATTATCCTCATGAGAAAAAAAGTTAAATGATCTATATTTGTGGAAAATGATTCTATAGAGAGAAAACCCCACACTAAAAAAGAAAACTTTTAGAGCAAATAGAAAAATGTAGCAGTTTCAAGGTATAAGGTCAACAAAAATTAGTTGAGTTTATATGCCTATCTAAACTTCTCACCATCAGCACTACATTTGAACCCATCTTTGCAGAGCTGTGTCAGTCCATCCCATTAAAGGCCTTCCTCTTTGTCACTGACCCGCTATTTCACTACTGATGGGTGTCCTTCTCCAGGGGTGGTCCCTCCTGGTAATACATCCACAGTGCGTGAGGTGAGTTCTCGGCATCCTGGCTGCAGTTCTCAAAGACATGTCTGTTCTCCTGGCAGACCACGGTATACTGACAATTCTTCGCCAACACCATGGTTCAGCTGAATCGATTCTTCTTTATTCTTCTGTCCTCATGGCCCACTTTTTGGGTGCATTTCAGATGATTAAAAATGCCAAGGTTTGGTTTAGGCTCAATTTAGTCCTTAAAGCAAAATCTTGCCATTTATCACTTTAACGAAGTCTTTTGCAACCGATTTGCCCAAAGCACTACATGATTTGATTTGTTAACTGTTGTTTCTGTGAGTGTTGATTGTGAGTTCAAGTTAAATGAAGTCCTTGGTAACGTCGGGATTTTTTCCATTTATCCTGGTCCACTTGTGCTGGGTTTTGTTTTCCTGATGTGGAGGTGTCACCCCTCCGGCAGGTGTCACCTTTGATCTTCATTAGTGGGTGTTTCCAATCCTCTTCAATTTCAGCCAGCAAGGTTGTTTCCTCTGTGTCCCATATATGTTGTTACGGAGGCTTCCTCTAATCCTGATGCCATATTATTCATAATGTAATCTAACATCTCAGATTAGTTGCTCAGCATGCAGATAAAACCAGTCTGATGAAAGGATGCAGCCCTGATGCACACCTTGTCTGACTTTAAACCATACTAGTGCCCCTTCGTCCTTTTAAAGCAACTGCCTATTGATCTATCTACAGGTTCCACAATAACATAATGAAATATTTTGGAATTCCTTTCTGGGGGGACAGTATTGCCCATAATCTGATCATTTGTTCTCATTTACTATCTAATACTTAGCATAATCAATAAAACCCTAGTAACCCTCATTCTGATATTCTCTGCTTTCAGCCTAGCATCATCTGACATCAGCATCAATGATCTCCCCCATGCTACAGCCTCTTCGGAATCTGACTTGTTCCTGGCAGTTTCCTGTCAGTGACCTGCTGAATAGCTAAATTTTACTTGGCAGTACTATGAATGATATTGTTAAATGGTTTCTACCGTCTGTTGGATCACCTTTGGAATGAGTGCAAATTGGATTTCTTCTATTTGGTTAGCTAAGTAGCTGTCTTCAAACAAGATATCTACAAGCAAATGTAATGATGGGCATGCAGGGCTAATAAAGAGAAAATTATAAAAACAGTTTAAATAGAATGAAAACGTAAATGGAAATATATTCTAAGTCCAAGGTTGGAAAGACTTACTGTTGTGAAAATGTAACTTATGTAAGATTTAACCACTCAAAGTGTTCTATAAATTCAATGAAATCCTAATCAAAATTCCAACGGTCTTCTTTACATAAATGGAAAATCAGTACTCAACGTGATATGGAATGGCAACAGACCCCACATATCTCATGCATGTTGAAACGGAAGAAAAAAGTAGTAGGACTTCTATTTTTTGATATAAAACATACCATACAACAGTAATAGTCAAAACGTCATGACACCAGTAGTAGTGGTAGCGCTGCTGTGCAAGCACTAGTATTGTTACTAATATAATAAGAAAGATACAGGAAAACAAAATAGAACTGTAACCTTAGAAATTAAACTACACCTCTGTGGTCAACTGATTTTTGACAAGAGTAGGAAGTTCAAACAAAGGAGAGAGAAGCAGTTCTTCAAATAATGATGATGATAAAATTAAATCTCCATTTGTAGAAAAAGAAACAGGATTGTTGCTACAAATTGCAAACAAAAACAAATCCAAAATGAATTAATAACCTAAATATACAAACTAATTTTATTAGGAAACCTTCCCTCCTCCCCCTCCTACCATAGCCCCAATCTCACTCCTTCAGACTTATTGTTGTTCCCTAAATTCAAAAGAACATTTGAAATGAACGTGATTTTAGCTCCTGGAAGGTGCTAAATATCCATTTTGATCTAGTGTAAATTTAAGAGAACAGAATCATTCACGGGAAGGTTCGAGAGATGGAATCTCAGCCTTCAGAAGTCTACAGACCTGCATGGAAAATGTATCGGAGATTGTGTGCTTTACATTTTGATATTTTTGTATAATAAAAGTTGCCATGGTTTTGTAGCAGTACTTTTTTACTTACCCTTATGCAGGGTGTATGAAATATCATGTCTACCCCGGAAGATCAGTCATCCTACTTAAGAAGAGAAACTCTGCACTAGAGTACATATTGGCAGCCTGGGTCCCTGGGAGTGGGATGGAAGCTTCGCAATACGGTGCTATTTGTAAGATGTAACTGCATTGGTGTGGCAAACACCTGTGAGACCAGGGAGTATTTGGACTAGCGATTCACAATTATGCTATGTAACTCCTGAGGGCAGTAACTAACTGTAGTTGTGATTTTTATTACTTTCACAGATTTTTATTACTTTCTCCAGCTAATCTGGAGATAATGTAATTATTTTTCAATAAGATTGAAAAAATAAGAGAGTAATTGAATGGCAACTTTGGCTGTAATGAGAGGGAAAATAATTAGGCAAAGTTTCAGGAACAAAGGACAAGAATCAATTGATATAATTTTACAGGCAATGCCAATTTTACCCTCAATAGTGAAACTCTTCCAATGTTGACAAGCTGACTTTAGAAGTTAGGAATGTTCCATGATTCAAACCCTTTAAGCAGAAGCAGGAGATCTGTACTGGAGGAATAATTGATGTTCTGTGTAGTGATCTAATGTCCCATACACTGATAAACTGCCTTATACTGCTAGATCCAAGAGAGGTCAGCGGTGAAGGGTCACTTAGTCCAAGTTGCTTTGGCCCTCCATGAACCAATCAGCAGTCTAGGCGAAGGCATAAGAGAGGTCTGAGGGCAGCCCTCCTCTGCCACCACCATTGCCTCATCCTGCCAAAGCACAGACACAGATCGTGGTGGTCCTTGATACAACTCTGAGGAGAACTCGTACACATTTGCATTTAGCTAAACACTTGGGATGCCCTTTTTCACATTTAATGTTGAGCGGAACCTTCCTACGGCTTTAAATTGCCCGGAAGTACCTAGACAGTTTGGAACTGACCCCATCTCTTCATCTCCTGGTAATCTTGGAAATGCCTACAAGTCTTCATTGTGCTACCGCATGGATGTTGTTTTGGAAATCCACAGGACCCTACATCACTTCCAAGTACTCCAGAGAGGGGACCACGAAACCACAGCCCTTGTCATAGCACTGACAGTGAGCTAGAGTCTCTCGTGTGTGTGTTTCCCAGGCACACGCTCTCCAAACGGAATTACACTAACACTGGGTTCTATTTTTGTGCTTTACAGGTTTCTCTTGGGTCCCAGATTGATTTGCAGAAAAAGAAGCGGCGGGCACCAGCTCCCCCTCCTGCACAACCACCGCTGCCCAGTCCCCAGGTTCCCAATCGCATGGAGGACCAGGAGGAGAACAGGAAGAGCATGATGGGTGAGTGAGTTCTCTGAGAGCCGTCTGCATGGGGCTGGGCACTTGCTGTCCGGTGTGCTATTGAGCATCATGTTAACTCTTGCAGTGAACTCACGCCATCATAACATTAACCAAAAAGTTTATGCTGAAGAAAGAACGTCTGGAAATAAACAGTTGAGGGCTCACTTAATGTAGTACAGCAATATTTTGTGGCCATTGCGTGTGCCTCGAAGAGGTAGAGGCAGAGGGTGGAGGGTACAGAATGGTGGAAGAGGCTGGGAAAGGGGTGAAAACAGAGAGAGTGTGCGTGTGAGTGTGCGATTTGTGTGTCCCTGAGAGAAAAAGGCATGGCAAGACGACATCTGAAGAAGTTATTTTGAATGTCATCAGAAAGAAAATGTAGTTTGAGGCCCCTGGATATTTATAGATTGCCTAACAGCAATTCAGGAAATCTTTGCCTACCATGTCTGAAATTGATCTCTATTTATGTAACTTTTATATATTTAGCAAACACTCCCATAGTTTGTGAGAAAAATAATAGTCCAGGAACTAAGATGGGATCAGGGCTTCTTTGAGCAGAAAGAGCCCTGGTAGATCGTGGTTTCCTTCCCCCTCTCTTATACAGGCAAGGTAGATAGAGATTAATGGAAAAAAACAAAACTGCCATCAAGCCGACGCTCACTCACAGGGACCCTGCGGCACAGGGTAGAGCTGCCCCAGTTATTTCTGAGACTGCCACTCTTTACAGGAGTAGAAAGCACCGTCTTTCTCTCACGCAGTGGCTGCTGGTTTCAAAGTGCTGACCTTGCAGATTGCAGCCCTAGCCTTTACGCCACCAGCATTCTTTTACTTTAAAGAAAGCCAGTGTTGGCTGTGTCTTGATGTAGGGATAGAAAGGGCTCTTGAAGAGATTTTGCATAGCTGAGACTCTACCCCGGGTCATCCACTGTACATCAGAACTCATTCGTGAAGCCAATAAGATCGTTTTTCATGATGCAATCGATGATTGTATTAACACCTACCATCCCTGGGTGCCCTGCCTTCAACTGTATATCTGGAACCCAGAAGACACTCAGCTCTCCAGCATAAGCGATTGCATTCAGAATTTGCAATGAAATAGTATTGGAGCTAGCTGAATGTAGTCTTGGCCTAAAATCTTTGGTCAACAACAGAGACTTCCAATCAGAAAACTGTTATTCAGATGACCACGTGGACACAGTCTTCCTCCACATCGCTATCTCTTTAGAGTCCAAGCGCTACTAGAACACACAAACACCCGCCATTCAGGCTGCTTCACTTTTGTGCACTTGGGAAACACAGCTTTGCGGGAGAAACTGAAATGTAGATTTGGAGAAATGACTATTTTCTGCCCAGAGAATTGTCACAAAGTGAAGGAATAGATTGATAATATGCCTCTTCATGATGAAATCATTTTGCTTAATGTTTTGGTCATTTCCTTATTAAGGGCTTGAAGCACGGAATCTATAACTTTATAGAACATTCTAAGCTTTAAAGCCTGAAGTCATTCATTTCATTTATTGATTTCATATTATTATTAACTTCTTATCATTTATTACCTTCAGTCATCGATTTAAAAATATTATTAGACAAAAAAAACTCATGTTATTTTTTTAAGAATAAAGGGATTCCCATGTCTGAGCACCTGAAAGACGAGTAGCTCAGCCTGCCATACAAGTCGACTAGGGTAAGGGGCACTTCCCCTAACTTCCTCCCTCACCTGAAGAACGTCTTCAAAACAGAGACTGAAAACTCCTCCCTAAGCAATGCAAGAGGTGAAGGTATACTTGGGTTTAAAAGAGGTAAGCAAAATTCATGGTTATTCAATCCATGGCTAAAGAGCCGGCATGGAAAAGCAGTCAGAATAAGGTAAAAAGACTAATGTGAATGAAGGGAGTCTTCCTTCACATGACAAGAGTCATTTAGGGACTTATAAAATTAATTTTGAATCCCAGCATATAAGTAATTGTGCCTACCAAAAGCAAACTGCCACAGGGGACAGATGTCACCCCATTGGCCCCACCGAGTGGCCACATGTGAAATGTCAATGCATGAGTGTGCTTGTTTCTGGTGTCTAAGAGTGAGCCAGTCTCTCTGTTGAAAGTCAGCTGCATTTCAGCCTAACCCACTGAAGTAACCACCATTGATTCCACATAGGTATTGGACGGCAGGTGCCACAAAAACCTCCCCGTGGCACTATGCGTGGCCCACCCCAGTTAGTGCTTCCCCCACCCCCACCCTATCCTCCTCCTGACACTGATGTGGCGGAGCCTCTTGGCTTACCAGAGGAAAGTGCTGTACCTGAGGCCCCAGACCTGAGACCCAAAAGTACGTGCCTCTCTTTTGTCTCCCAACCATGTTGTCGATCCATCGCCTGTGTGATCACTGTTTGTGTCGCCAATGGGTTTCCAGTCTTTCCATTCTTACCTTTGGATGTATGTACCTTTCCTTCTGGCTTTTCTCTCTGAATGGTCAATGCAGTGTATTCGAGTTAACAGGGAATGCACTTAAAATGCAATCCAGGTCCTCTAAAGCCTGATTGAACCTGCGAATCAACCATTCCGCAGCTCGAGCCCCGCTCAAGTTAGATCTGTGAGTAGAGACAGTCAGTGAAGGATTAATGTTTCTTAAAGTAGCACTAACCTCAGAGCATCTGTAGATACTGAGAGCCAACCAGTACAACCATCAGGGTGTTTTGTTGTCGATGATCCTCTCATGGAGCATGATTTGAACACATCGGAGAGTTCAGTAACTTGGAGGGGTTGTGAATTTAACCCTTCAAGCCATGTGACCACTGGCCAGCCATTAGTACTTCTATTCAGTAGAAAGGGAAACTGAGATACAAAAGAGGGATCATCTTGACATGAGAGTAGTAATCGCAGAATTAAAATCTTATTCTGCTATTTTTGTTCATCCTGCCTGGTCTGAGATCAGGCATTTCTTCTGGACTTTAATAAGCATTGTTCATAGCACCCTAACCTCTAGAGGGGCATTGGTTTAAAGAGTATATATTCAGATGGCATCATTCCTGCACATCCAGCCTGAGTCTACTCCTCTTCAGCATGTCTCAAGTTTGTGTACATGCTTTGTCATAAAACTGGCAGATCCGGGACAGTGCAGAAGACAATTTAATTCCTCTTCTGAACTCAGCCCAGCACTAGTGTTGATCTGAGCATTTTGCAACCCTTTGAAGTCCCTGGGAGGTATAAATAGTTAACATGCTTAGCACTTAACCAAAAGGTTGGCAGTTCAAGTCCATCAGAGGAAAAGTCTGGTGATCCAATTCTGGGGGGTGGGGGTGGAAATCAGCCATTTAAGACCCTATGGAACACAGTTCTACCCTACTCTGACGTACATGGGGTTTCCATGACTTGGAATCACTCAAAACAGCTATTTTCCTAAGAGAAAAACAAACACCAGTTCTATTCAAAGTATTCCAGAGGAAATAATGGAATAATACTGAATGTATTCTCTGAAGCAAGCATAACACTGATCCCAAAATTAGGCCAAGGTAGCACTAAAAAATTACTGACCAATGTCCCTCATGGACATAGCACAAAATGTCTACAAAATTCCAGCTTAAAAGATCCAACAACCTAGTATAAATAACACTCCATCATGACCAAGTAAGATTTATACCAGATATGCATGTTACTGAAACAATCAATGTCACTCACCACATAAAATAAAATGAAAGGAACCATATTATTATGTGAATTGGTGCATAAAAGGCATTTGACAAGATGCAACACCCATTCTTGATAAACACAATCATCAACTTGTACTAGAACTTAAATTCCTCATCATAAGTAAGGGCACATACACAAAATCGTTCTTAATGGGGAAAGATTGAAAGCATTTCTTTTTTAAATAGATGCCAGATAATACCCTTTAATAAAAGTCCCACTCAATATTGTTTAGAAGTTCTGGCTAGAGCAATAGGGAAATAAGAGGTATCTGTATTGATACAGAAGGAAAATTATCTCTATATGCAGATAAACGTATTATCTGCTCATAGAAAATCCTAGAAATTCAACCGTAAAACTACTGAAATTACTGAGCAAAGTGTCAGGCTAAAAGATCAAATACAAAAATAGATTCTTACACTAACAAAGAAAACTATGAAAAGGAAATGAGGAAAACAATACCAGAAACTGAAATATCTAAAAATAAATCTAGCTAGAGACACAAAAAAACTTGAACAACAACAGCGACAAACCCGACAAAACAAAACACTCTATAAGAAGCTAAAAAGACCGGAGTAAATGGAAGAATGCCCCATACTTAAGGATAGGAAGACTTAACATTGTGAAAATTTCAGTATTAACTAAAATGATCTAAGGATATAATACAATCCCAATATTGATCCCATAGTCATTCTTTAAAGAGATAGAAAAATTAATCACCAGCTTAATATGGATAGGAAAGAGATCCTGGATAAGTAAAGCCCTACTAAAGGAAAAGAACAAATTGGGACGCCTCATAATCCCCAATCTTGAAACCGATTATACAGTGATTGTAGTTCAAACAGCCTGGTACAAGTACCACGACAGACACACACACCAATAAGACAGAATTGAGCTCAGAAGTGAATCCATGCACTTAAGAACAGCTTATCTGTGACAAAGGGCTAAAGCCCACTGAATGAGGAAGAAATAGTCTCTTTAGGCAAGGTAGCTGACAAAACTGGATATCAATGTACAGAAAAATTCAACAAGATCATCTCTCTCAACATACACAAAAAACTAACTCAAGGGGTATTAAATACTGACATGTGAAAACCTAGCAATCCATTTTTTTAAATAGGTAGAGTGCATAGCACTTCCCTTAAGAAGACGTTCAGACAGCCAACAGACACATGGAGAATGCTCACAGTCATTATCCATTCAAGTCAATTCAGACTCATAATGACTCAGTAAGACAGAGAAGATCTTCCCCTTGGGTTTTCTGAAGCTATAAAGCTTATTTTAACTGTTTTATTGACATATAATTCACACACATATAATTCTGTGGTTTAAATGTATTAAAAATGTATTAAAAATTAAAAATACAATCATAACCACAATTGATTTTAGAACAATTTTGTTCTTGTATTCATTATTACTAGGTACTCATTTTTGTTAGCTCCCTACTTCCCCCCTCACCTCCCTGGCCGTAACCCTAAGAAACTATTAATCTTGTTACTTTTTCTATAAACGTACATATCCTGGATTTCACATGATGAAAATCAAACCCCCCAAAAGAACAGAACAAGAACCTCAATCCAAAGAAAAGCAGAAAACAATAAGCCGAGAACAACTTTAAAATAATAAACACTAGACAAATATAAAATGAATCAAATGGGAAAACAAATGATAAAGAAGGTGTTCAATTGTAGTCTAATACTCGCATTAATTCACTTTCAAGTGCACTGCTTCTGAGGCCAAGGCTATTCATCTACCTGGCCAGCGGTTAGATGGAATTCACCGGAGACTTAGTCCATCTGAGGACTTCAAAATGGATTTGGGACTTCCACTGTCATGTATACCCTGCAAACTGGGTGCTCAGAATTTAAGCTCTAAAACCAACCCTTACTCCTGCCGTGGATTGTATTATGTATAATCTTTGGATCTTACAGGCTAGTGTGCATCTTCCATGTGGATTTAACTGAAAGCTTACTTAGATAGTTGCTTGTTTTAAGAAAAGATTTTTAGACCCCAGAAGCTACTACGTCCCTATGGAACTACTAGTGGAGCCGCAGTGTTGATCTTGTGGTTAGCAGCCCAGTACATAACACGCTATGCTACCAGGACTCCTTCTCATTAACCATCAGAGAGATGAAGATGGATGGATGGATGGATGGATGATAGATGGATACATAATTAGTTAATCATGTCAGCTATGCAGTATTAGTAGCAGAGTTCAAAGAAAAAGAAAACCAAAAATGCTATCAAGGGTGTGGAGAGATTAGAACTCTAATCTACTGTTGGTATGACTGTAAAACGGTACAACCACTGTAAAAATAGGATGGCATTTCTTTTTAAAAATTGGTAATGGAAATACCTATGTTCCAGCAATTCTATGACTACATACATATATATCTTACAAAAATAAGAGTCACTACACAAGCAGATATGTGCAGACCCATGTTCATTATTCAACAAATAAAGAGCTGGAAACCCCCAAAGAGGCTCCCAACCATTAAATGGATAAATAAACCATGATACATATAGGCAATGGAATACTATACAACAAGAAAAAATAAAAATCTGTGAATCGCCGTAACATAGATAAACATAGAAGCCATTATGCTGAGGGAAATTAGCCAATAACAAAAGAACAAGTATTTTACAAGACCGTTACTACACAGCCAATAAAAAGCTTACACACGAAAGGAAACATTCTTTGAAGGGAAGTAGACAAAGGGAGAGTAAGTCACTAACTAGAGAGGTCAAAACAAAATCATTTCGGCAAAAAATAAATAAATAAAATACTTGGAGGGGCACGAGTTACGTATATGCACTTCCAGGAAGCGTAGGGCTGCTGTGAAGAGTAATAAGGCTCCCTGGTGGGTTACAAACACATTGGACGGCTAACCACGAGGTCAGCACCTTGAACCAACCAGCCATTCTGAGAGAGACACACGAGGCGCTCTGCTCTGGTGAGGAGTTATGGTCAGAAACTCACAAGGGCAGTTTTGCCCTGCCTTATAAGGTCACTACAAGTGAGTCGACTGGATGGTAGTGAGTTTTTTTGGCTTTGGGATGTAGAAGATACCAGTTATATCAGCTTCTCTAGACAAAATAATCCCAATTATTTTTATTCTTATTTACAAATACTTTTCAACTCTTAAAATGTGTGATTTTCTTGAAGTTTCATATACTTCCAAATCTAAACAGATATTTCTTATTGATCACTTTATTGGGGGCACTTAACAGATATTATAACAAGTCATAAATCAATTACATCTAACGAACTTGTACAGTTGTTGCCATCATCATTTTCAAAGCATTTTCTTTCTACTTGAGCTCTTGATATCAGTACCTCATTATTCCCTCCCCACCACCCTACCACCTTTGTGAACCCTTAATAACATTTTTTCCACATCTTATACTGTTCAATGTATCCCTTCACCCGCAATTCTGTTTTTCATCCCCCTTAAGCGGGGGGGGGGGGGGGGGGGGGGTTATACATCTATCATTGCTATCAGTCCCCCCACTTTCCCAAGCCCTCATGGAATCATTACTCCCATTAATGTTTCTGAGGGTTTTAATCTATCCTGGAGTCTGTATTTTTAAAATAAGGATTGGATATATCAGAGAGATAGATAGCAAGTACAGTGAAACTGA